GACATAGGGTTTTTTTGGGGTGGAGGGGTAGATTTTTTCCTTGTTTCTTAAATTAGTAATCTTATAGGGCTGCAATATGAAAGCACAAATTAACTACCAAATTACCCCATTCTATATCAACTTGTCATAGAACTTGTATCTGATTATGATAATTATATGTTTAAATGAGCCATGCTTCCCAGGCCATTTCCCAGGCTTGAGGCCATTTCCTCAAGCCTTAGGTAAGGAACTACAATTAATTTATTATTTATTAGATTTATATCCTTTTTTTTTCAAGAATTCAAGGTGGCTTGCATCATTCTCCTCCTCCTGCTTTCAATCTTATCCCCACAATAATGACCCGGTGCTGAGAGACTGTGACTGACCCAAAGTCACCCAGTTGTCTCCATGGCTGAGCAGGGACTAAAACGCAGATCTCCTGAGTCCTAGTCCCACACTCTTAACCACTTCACCATACTGGCTGTCAGCAATGATATTGCTTAGTATCATGGAACAACCTTCCTATTGACCATGAAAAATAGTCTAATGGTACAAGGTGCCCAGCCCAGTTATTGCCAATCATCTTCCATTCTCGTTTCCAATAATCCACTGATGTCAGCTTTTACTTGTGTGTTTCAGAATCCGGACAATCAGATAATTCAAACCAGCAAGGAGATGCGGACATCAAACCACTGCCCAATGGTAAGTACATTTCTGTCTTGAAGCAGATTTACTAGTCAGTCCTTTATTTTCACTCTTCTCCTTTGACACTGTTTCTAGGGCTAGGTTGCTGACTGGGAACTTGATATTTTCACAGCCCAGTGTGCACCATTTCTGAGAAATAAATGCAGCAGTACTAAGGTAGGATTAAGAGATCTAAGAGGGACCTTGAAATAAGGCCAGATCTAAGAGCAGAAGCCTTGGACTAAGATAGGAAAGGTTGGTGGAATAGTATTCTGAGCTGTGAGGGGAGATTGAAATTCACAACATGGCTAGGAGAGAATCAAGAATCCCTTTTGGTTTGACTACACCGTGGCACATTATTCAGCCTGTACTTACTGCCACCTGGCCACCACTCCATCTTTATGACCCAACCTGTTTGTCTCATCTTCTTTTTGCAGGGCATTTGACTTTCCAGGACTGCTTTGTGACATCAGGTGTCTGGAACGTTACAGAGCTGGTGAGAGTGTCACAAAGTAAGTTAAAGCAACTGAAACTCATGGCTTGCTGTGGTATTCCTATAATAATCCAGACTCAGGGATGTATACAGCTGCTGCATACATTCTCAGACTTTATTCTTGTTAAATTTGAGGTAGTAAGTTCAGTGATCAGTTGTGCTGCCATTCTTTGGGCTTACTGTTAACAAGCTAAACCAATGGAGGTCAGATTGAATGAAACAGGAATCAGATTTGAGAAATAATTAAAATGGATATTTTGAACATTCATGTTCTATGTAAGAAACTCCTTCTAAGGGTCATTTCTCCTGACATTTAAGTTGCCCCAGCAGCATCAGTGCCCCTTCCCACCTGCTTAATACATTTAAACTGATCACACCCTGCGTGAACAGGGAAAGGGCTTCAGAATCCCTGTTCTGAAAATTGGTGTAAAAATAAGGGCATCTTCCATTTTCAAGGAGTTGATACTTAGAAAAGCTGACATTGTCCAGAAAAGTTTTGTCTCACTCGCTCAATGTTTCTTGTTCTAAGGGTTCAACATGGATACTAAAAGAACTTCCTGAGAGAAAGAAAGGACAGAAAGAAATCCAGGCACATAGAATCAGCTTATGTGGCATCAGGAGGTGGTGACCTGTTGCACTTGATTCTTGTTCAGTCCTAGTCTATGTAGGAAATTCACCTTGAAGGTCAAAAGTAAGGAAGAGCTTGGAGGCACAAGCCAAACAGTCTGGCATCATCCAAGAAACAGAGCCTTAGCAGGACATCAGAAACAAGGTCAGAAAAGCTAGGGTGCAAGGTACTGACAACTGAAATAAAGATTCTGTTCCAGGAGCTAGCTTCTCATTCTGCTTCTATTGGGAATTAATGGAAGATCAAAGCCAAGGCTTCATGATGACCACTTACTGGAAAAAAAAGTAAGGCAGACACATACAACTAATTCTCATGAGCTGGCCTAGATACCTGCTACTTTTAACAAATCTCCATAGCTACTGAGAACCACACTTTTGAGATTGTCAATTTGGACAATAGACCTCAAAGAAGGTTCTTTAATGCCGAAGCTGTGGAGCTCATTAAAAAGAAAGCCCTTTGCTGTACTGTAGCACAGTCCCAGAGAAGGTAATCTCCTGCTTCATTCATTTTACAGAACTCACAAAGAGTTAAAACACATCTCTTCAGAACAAACAGATTGCTCTGTAAAGCACTGTGTTTGCTTGACCCAACAGACCTCTGTCTAGGACCGAGGTCTATAAGCTGGAGCTTCCAGATGCCCACACCCTGAAGTCAGCTGCGATTTATCAGAGATTTCCATATCAGAAGTCCTCATATGGAAGGCTCTACTCACAAAGAATTATTTACATGGTTCTGCTGTTGAGATGCTGCCTCTCTTGAGGGGCTAGCGACAAAGGTGGAGTACTTTTCTTGTAAAAATGGACTTGGTCCCTGAGGGCCTATCTCCTCCTAATCTTCTGACGTTTGCTGATAGCAGGCCTGTGCCATGTAAACCTTTAAATTATTGCTATATGGTTTGGTGCTACTGCATTGATGAGATCAGGGGAAGTGAGCATACATCCTTTGATTCAGAGTTGTCCCCAGCCTAATAGTAGCTTGGTGATCAGTTGTTGCCATTATATTTATGTAAGATAGTCACAATTTCTATTATATAATTATAATAGAATCACTTGAATTTAGGTGCTAGGTCGTTGAGGACATCCATCTTGATAATTTCTCATATCTGATTCCCATTTCATTTGATCTGGCTTCCATAGGCCTAACATGTTTACAGTAAACTCATAGAACCATTCTAAATGCTGCACAGCCAGTGTGGGGAAAGAATGTGTACAGACCAGTTGAAAAACAAAGCAGTGGAGATCCCATGTATGCATTTCCTTTTATCTTTACATATTCTAATATATAGATTGGACTGTATGACATCATTGGCACAGAAGCATCATTGCTGAAGCTCCCCATTTCTAGGAATATTCAACTAACTTTCTATTTACCAAACATCCAGATGGATTGACCAAAGAAAAAACAACCATAACATGCGGATTTATCCCATCCCTAATTCCAAGCAACAAAGTCCATAAAACTTTTCCCTAGTTCCACTCTCTCCATCAAAATGGGATGGGGTGTTTTAGCCCATACTGGCTCCCATCAGTTCATGTGGTAGACAAGGAACTGCATATGCATCCCAGATAAAAAGGTCACTTGGCTTGAACAGTTCTTGGTTCAACTAATAATTTAGGAAACTGCTTTATAGTTAGATCCATTGGCTTGCTTTCCTTCAGCAGAATGAAGCAAACACTGCTACAAGCAAGAGAAGCTCCAATTTCTGAGGAAAAAGGTTGGAGTGGAGAGGCAGAGATGTGTAGTAATGGAGAGGTCTTTCTGTCTTTCCTTATGTTTTTCAACAGTGTTGTTTTGCATATATGCATCCAACAACTTCTCTTGCTGAAGTTACTGGTTTTATTCCACAAATTAATTGCTTTGGGCTGCACCTTTGCAGAATGAATTGGATCTTAGGCAGCAGGTCTTTTTGAAAAAGAAACCAGTTTATATTCCTTGATGCAAGGGAAGAGAGTCAGCAAATGTTTTCAAGGCAGCTACATTATCCTTTAGATATAAACAATGAAAGCTTGAGATAATAGCACAGAGGAGTAGAATTTCTCCAGTGATACTCAACATGCTGACATCTGCCTGTGTCTGCAAATGTGCTCATAACCAGTGCTACATCTAACTAGTCTTGCATCACATTCCCCTTTCCCCCTTATTTGCATTCAAGATGCTGACTGCTGTTCAGTGAGTTAGTTAGTTTGACCTTTTGTTTTCCTCTTCATGCCTGTTCTCCAGTCACTCAGCTGTTGTCTCTTATTCCTCAGCTCCTGTTGCCACAGCGTCTGGTCCAAATTTCTCTTTGGCTGACCTGGAGAGTCCCAGTTACTACAACATCAATCAAGTGGCTCTTGGAAGACGGTCGATAACATCTCCACCTTCTAGCAGGTACTTCTTCCCATATTTATTATGTAAGGCAGAAGTCTGTTGAAGGATCTTAGTCAATCAAGTGGTGCTTGTTGTGGCAGTGTCATCCTCCAGCCCTGTTTGTGGAGGTGAAGACTGTGGGTAGGAAGAATCAGTACTCTTGGTTTTTGGCCCCTCATTACAGTTTTGGGCCCCTCATTACAGGAAGGATATAGCCAGGTTAGAGTCAGTGCAGCGTAGGGCCACAAGGTTGGTGGCTGGTTTGCAGGGGATGCCATATGATGTAAGACTGAGGGAACTGGGTCTCTTCAGCCTGGAGAAGAGGAGACTCAGAGGGGATCTGATGGCGACATACAGGTATGTGAGGGGGTGTCACACGGAGGTGGGTAGAGACCTGTTCTCCTCTGCAGAGGAAGGCAGGACGTGCTCCAACAGAGCAAAGTTCAGGGAGCCAAGGTTCCCTTTAGATGCCAGGAATCACTTCCTGACAGTTAGGACCCCGAGGGTATGGAATGGGCTTGCACAGGAGGTGGTGGAGGCCCCATCCATGAGGGTGTTCAAAGATAGACTAGACATGCACATGGTGGGCATGTCGTGAGCGGAGTCGGCTGGAGCTGGGGGTCAGACTGGATGGCTCCAGAGACCCCTTCTGACTCGCTCTGTTACTATGTTTCTGTGTTTCTTCTAAATCCATTCCATAAACACCACCACAGAATGAAAAGAAACCTCTGTCAGTTTTCTGGGTTGTAGCTTAGACTCATGCTCCTTAAATGAGAAAGCCCCATAGCCTCCAGGAAGAAGGACTTTTTCAACTGGTACCACATCTTATCATTCTCTGTTGCTTATGATATACTTCTCTTTGGTCTTTTCAATTGCAGTTCCACCAAGAGGCCCAAATCAATAGATGACAGTGAGATGGAGAGCCCTGTAGATGATGTGTTCTACCCTGGAACAGGGCGGTCTCCAGCAGCTGGCAGCAGCCAGTCCAGTGGGTGGCCCAACGATGTGGATGCAGGTAGGGGCACCAACTTGACCTCATCAACTGGCATAGCTTGACATGGGAAACAAAACCAGGAGAGACTAGGCTGACCTCTGCCCTTCATGCATTGTCACCAGGGGGGCTATGCAAATTTCCTTCCGCAAAGCAGTTAACAATTGTGAATTTTCATTCCTCCAATATGATACTCATCTTTGGTTTTAAAAAAACAGTCACTCAGTTTAAAGATAAAAGAATACTGTGGCAGATTTTGGTCTCTCCTGACATGTTCCCCCTGGAGTATCCTAGGGTGTAGTGATTGCTGCTCCTGATTCCCAGGACTTTCTTCTGCCTTACCTTGCCACACCTTAAGGAAGGTGCAGGGCAAGTGGCGGCTGTGCTACGGCTTCCAAGGAACTCTGCATGGAGAATCTGTCTGCTTCAAATTCCAGAGACTTTCCTTGAAAGGAACACTTCAAGGCAAACTGAGATATGGTTGCCTGGGCAGAACTCTTCAGGTAGAAATTCTATTTAGAGGGGAGTCCAGATCAGAAATAAGGGAACAGAAGTTAAAGAGGAAGTGGAGATGGGGGTTTACAACTAAACAAGGAGGCTGGGGGTGACTAAAATGAAGGAGGAATGCTGGACCAGCAAGGCTGCAGTATGAGATTAAGGTGTACAGATTCTAATGGTGCAGTTGGGTGGCAGGCCATATTAAGGGCTGTAGGAACTCCGGAGCATGAAAGGATAAGGGTGCCAGTGAAGTACTTGGTGCTAAAGTATCCTAATCTGCCAGCATAAAGGGGCAGAGGTAGATAGCAGACACTGAATTGCAAATTTCTACATGTTTCTGTGATGCTTGCTTAGACTTCCTGAAAACCTAAAACAAATCCACAATGTCCCTTGTATAGTATGTTTTGGGAAGAGAAATATCTAGACAGGGAATCTGCTCAGATGCTAGAGGATATGCCAGTTTGTGGGTGCCATGTGGGGGCTGTAAGTAACAGCATGTCAGCATGTATTTGTTGGATGTGTGCTTTATGAGGTTGCCATGAATAAAGAGGAAAGGAATTATTGTCCAGGGAGAGAGCAGAGGAAGGCAGTATGGGTGCAACATTGTATTAGACAAAAAGGTACTACAAAGACTGTTGGGTTGGGCATGACACCTGTTTGTATTGGGATTTCTTACCCAGTGCTGAAGTTCAGTTGCCCCTTGGCTTGAATATAGCTGCTAGTTACCCTGGCAGTTCTTGGCTCAGGCAGGTTTGTGACTAAGTTGCTTCTGAAATGAGATGAAGTTGCTGTTTAACTGCAGAAAAAGAGACATTTTGAGACCAAAAATCAAAAACAATTGAATTAAAACCCAGAGTATTTCCATGGATGGCTTCTACCTGCATTAAAATGGGTGGAATAGTTAGAGGTGGAACTAGGCAGTGGATAGGAGGCTGGTTGCTAGGATGAGCTGATCATCCAGAACACATTAAGAGAGGGTTTACTTGAGTAATTTAAGACTGCTTTGTGGATTGCTAGCCCTTCTAAGTAAAGGACGGAGATATCAGGACACAATTACATTTACCCTTGAAACTTGAGAGAACTGCATTCAATTTATTGTAGTCCAGTGGTTGCAAGAATTTGTACCTTGTTTGATACTTGAAGCCTTTGCTGTCATTTTGAAATAGCAATTTCAGCAACAACAATGACATGATGTGCCATTCTAGGGTTGGGCTTGCTTAATGAGGTCTTTCCTTATATTCCCATTGAGAATATCACCCTGCTTTCTTTACTAAAAGAAAAATGCTTTGAATAATTCAAACTTTTGTATAAAGTCTAAATTTGCATCGGAATTATAACCAGCCTTCATGACTCTTTATGGTGAGAGTGACTAATATGCAGTCAAAAGTTCCACCTATTAAAATAATCCCCTGGTCAACTACCTTTCCAAATTCCTGTGTTCTCTTCTGGGTGTTAGATAGGGTACTCTTGTCCAGCAGTTGGTGGAATGACTGTGAATCTGTGCTGTCATGGTGGTGAAGTTGGTTTCTCAAGAAATCACCCCTTACCAGTGTCCTATGTTATTGGACTTTTCATCTGTTTTATAAGTTAGGATGAAAATTATGTTTTTGCTTCTGAACATCTCAGGTGTTTTCGTATCAGCATTCTCAACTGATGATAAATCTGCTCACACTATGTTAGCAAGTCAGATGTCTCAGGAGAAAGTAAACTTTCTTCGTGCATTTGCTTTGAGAAAGTACTTTTGCCTGAAGATTTTATTGTACAGTATAGTAAGTAAAGTGGTTTGTACACATTTGGTGTCGGAAACTAAACACACTTGGTGTAGGGACTTAGCAATAGGTGACTGAGTGAATCTGCATCATGAGTTAACTAAAATTACCAGAGAGGCTTCCAAAAAGGACATGTTGACTAAGAAAGAAGACTAGTCAATAAAATCTGTCCATCCATATGCATTTTTAGGATTCCTGCCATGAATTATTTTGGAAAGTTAGCTGGGATCCAAAATGGTTGAACAAATCCATGAGAGGGAGCACAGTAGCCACTAGCCAAAACAGGCAGGGACTGTAGTTTCATCTTAAGAAAGTCTGTCAAGAACAGGAAGTGAATGCCAGGAGATGGATAGATCTTTTGAGGGTTAACCATTATTTCAACCATTGCATGGAAGCAGAAAATGGAGCAGGTTTCATGGAAGGCATTGCTCATTCTTACAGCTTGGTTTCTATGTTTGGAACCAGGAAGCAAATCGCCCTCAGATCAGAGTAGATTCAGTGAGTGAGAGGGCCTTCTCCATTTTCCTTCACCTGTGGCACAGGTCATCTTGGCTCTGTTGCTCCCTAGTCACTCTCCACACTATGCCTCTTTTTGCTTGTAGCCCATTTGATGGTCAAGACTGTGTAGCTTAGCTGTGAGGAATAAATGTGTGAATGGATCTGCTTTGTACCTGATAGGATTGTTACACATTTACAATCCTGTCACATCATCCTGTTCTGTGCTTAGACAATTTGATCCCAAAGCTGTCTCCTCCCCTTCAGAAGCCTCAAGGCTATGAAACAGGTTGTATTCAAACACATTCTCCCTTTTTCCTCCCTATTCTTTCTCTCTCCAGCTCCCTCCCCCTTTGTCTTGTTGAGTTTTGTTCCCAGCCATCTCAACAAATCTCCAATTAAGCAGCACAGCTGCAGGGCTTGTGTGAACAGCTGGAGAGATCATCCAGCCGGCTGACAGGGACAGGTGTTCACAGCTGGCTGGCATCCCCTCTTCCCATCTCCATCTCTGTGCACAGGTATCAGGTGTTAGGCAGCTGGCATGAGATAACAGGCTGGGGGCTTTTCTCTCCTGGGCCCCCTTGCATGCTGCTGAATTGCCAGATTGTGCTGGATTACAGAGGCAGTGGCAAACATGAAAACCACAGCCCATTTCCCTGAAAGACAGTATAGCAGCTCAAGAGGTGTGCAACCAATTTGCATGTTGTACACTCATTTGGATGACTTTTTAAAAGCCACAGTTATGTTTCCTAAGTGGGTGATTGTTTCTGGGGAGTGGAATTAGGATCAGCCCACACACACACACACGCTAATTGCTGTGCAAAACATTGGGGTATATTCCATGCACAGTTTGAGAACATAACTCCTTAGTGTATACTGGGCCAAGGCTAAATCAGTGATGGTCCCAGGACAGGATCACTAGAACCACAGACAGCAGCCATTTCTGGCTGGGTTTTTTGTTTTGTTGGAGTTTTTTGCACAGAATACGGGAGCTGCATTTACAAGTTGCAGCAACCAGGCATCCAAGCTCCAACCATGCATCCATCCCCATTTTCAGGATACTCCACCACCCCCCACCTCCCAAAAGTCAGCATTCCTTGGTCATAGAGCATGTTCAGTCCTCCTTGGCTCCTTAGGATTGTGTTTCTAAAGGTACTGCATACTTTCACAAACTCTGAGGTTTCCCTGACACTGGTGAAATGTCTCTGGCACATGGATGATGCTGTTTTGCCTCCATAAGGATTTACACTTGGAGAATTGAGTTTGCCATTCATTATGTGAGACGGACTATGGGGAACAACTCTGCTAACTTGTTGTTCCTAAAATAGGCATGGTGGGGCAGTATTCCGTGTGTCATTGACCCAGTGCTCATGATCCAGCAGCTGAAGTAAGATTTGTTCAGGGTGGGAAACTACCCTCCAATAATCCATGAGCTATCATTGTGTGGTTTGAGGGTTGCTTCCCACTCCAAGATGTGCTACCCAAGTTTTGGACAACATGGCAAGCTGTCCTGATGAGGGAAATTCAACTTGAATACTGCTATCCAGGGCAGTGTCTGAATGCGAGATAATCAGGAAACTACAGGAATCAGCAAAGCACAGTAATGTAAATTAGCATCATAATACTAATTAACAATAAAAAGAAGTGGGAGATATGCACTAAGGTCAGCAGTGTGTATTGAAACCAGACTTATACAAGAGAGTAATAAGACTGCAGGAGGAGTTAACGCTGTGATCAGCTGCTCTTGAGAAGACAGGTCTTGTGGAACCTTAAGAGGCAGAGCACAGCACATCTATGCATGCTGCAGGAATGGCCAAATGAAATGACCTGGTCTTCTGTCCAAGAGCTCAGTCCATTGTTATTGGAATGGTCCATTTGATTCTTAACATCTGGACACTGGGAAATGCCAAGTGTGTTTTAAAACAACGTCTGCACAAGTGGCTGTCCTAAGAATACTGCCCACATTGCATAGGATAAATCACAGAAGTTTTTGTGTTCTCCACTTCTTGTGTATGATCTATGTTTGCTTGCTTGCTGGCTGGCTTGTTTGTTTCTGTTGTGAATTTTCTGGAGGGATCCAGATGTACAAACTGCACTATGATGGAGATGTCTATACTTGTGCATGACTGCCACAAGCTCCTGTAGAATTGAGCTGTCCTGAATCGAGAACTCATGTACCCCTGAACAAAATAATGCAAGGCTATCTTTTCTCCTTCAGTGAAGTCCCACCATTGCAGCAGCCTCTTCAACAAACTCTTTCAGTTGCCATTGTTTAGAGGTATGAAGCTTCCACCTCTACCACTAGGACACACACCTACCTTTCTTAAATGAGGCAATCAGGATTTTTCCCCTACTGCAAAGCTGACTGCATTGCAGTGATCTCTCCCTCCCCAATTACATTTCTACAAGTATCATCACTGTTGCAGGGCTAGCACCATTGTATGTTAAATATGGGAAGACTCTGTGTTGGGACGAAACTGTATGGGGACATAGGAACATCACAATCTGCTTCATCATCAGATTTCATCTTTGCCTTAAAGCAGCTGGTGGTAGCTCAAATTTTGATTGGAGCAGTGGTGCTTGGGGAGGGGTATTTAACAATTCTCCACTTTGTGCCCTTTTGCAGACTGAAATCTTATCCAAGTCTGCCCCCAAAGGTACTATTAACTTCTGTGTTAGATCTAGAAAATAGTACACTGTGAAGGTTAAACATTCTGCCCCCCATTGCCCAGTGCTCCAGTCATAATTGGTAGACCCCAGCAGTTGCCTTAAGTTAAAAATAAAGGCATTGGGAAATTTAGTTAAGGAGTTCTCACATCTACTGTAGTTTGGCCCTTAGCTCTTATTAAAATCAAGGGTTCTGTACTGAGGAGGAAGAGGAATTTCTGTGCTTGATTCAGGACTAACCAACACATTTTGTAGTTCTTATAATGTGCAATCCATATATATTTGAGTCCCAGGAGCAGCTTCACTCTCCAGATATTACCCTCATTTCATAATATGTTTCTTTGTACTGATTTAATGGCCATTTTAGGATGAGTTTCTGTGGCCATTAATATTTCTGTGATAAGCAGATATGCAAAATCAAATTGGGCTTAGAAAATCTGGTCAGTAATGTCCTGTTTCCTTAGCTTCATTCCAGGGCTGCTAGGCCAGTCACAACCTACTGGGGTTTCAATAGCCTTCTTGGTTTTGTTTCCTCAGACTTACTTACTGAGACACATACATAGCTTTGAAAGGTTGGGGGGTGGGGGTGGGCATGAGTCTTGAGGATGAGGTATCAAAGATGGCACTTGACTCTCTGACCAGGTTTGCATAGATATGAAGGAAAAATAAGTCATGATGTACCCCTTAGCCTTTAGCACCCTGTGATTTCTAGGGCTGCAGGCAATTCTATTAATCTATGATTAATAATTAGAGATTAAGATTAAGAATTATCTATGTTTATTCTAATGACAACCAATGCACACCTTATTCTAAGTGTGAAATGACAGGTCTGTGATCCTTGCTGTTCTTTAACAGAACGGCATGACCAGAGCATAAGGCATAAATTGCATTTAAACAGATGCAACTTCCTGATCATTATTAATTCAGTCTAGAAGAGGCAATTGTCATGCAAATGAACATCCTGACTAATGAGGGATTTTCAGCCTCCTCACAAATTCAACTTGAAGCAAGACTACTTTATGCTTGAAAAAACCATGAGATGAGCACATTGCAAGGCTTCATTTGTGGAATTTTACAAGGGTTGGGGTTAGGGTTGGAGTTAGGGTTGAGGTTGGGGTTAGGGTAATTCTCCTGTGTTTTCCCACTGCTTATTCTTTTTGTTTTCTTCCGACAATAAATCAAGGAAGCAGGAAAAGATGGAATAACTGCTCTATACATTTTGATTTGTAGCACTGGGAACCCTCCATCTGGAAGCACCCAAGGCCTTTCAAAACTTTAATAAAGACTAGAGAGTAGTTCCAATCAGTCATACTGTAGAGTGGCACAAGTCAAGTGTATCAGTCCTTCAGATGTGTCTGTAAAACTAGCATAAACCCAAAGGAATACTCTACAAGGAAAGACAAAAGAATGAGTCGTTTTTGGGAGGAAGGAAACTGTTGTGATCTAATGTGGTCAGCAAGCTAATTATTTGCTCCTTGGGCTATTTTTTCTGGCTCTGTGCAGAGTCACAGAGGTTATTGCTTAGTACATGGTAAGTGCTATAAGATAATAAATGATAGCAATGTCTTTGTATCTTCTATTTTGGCTTCACGTGGTGGAATGTGACTGATCATTCCAGTCAAGTTCTCAAACAGCAAGCTGGCAGCTTTTATGCAAAACAGACACATGCCAGCCAGTTCATAGACCTGCATAGTCACAGGTAGAGGCAGAAGAGTTCAAAACTGCCATTGGCAAACACACATTATGCCATTGAGCTGCAACAATCCTGGCTAAGGGGGCATATTCAACTTGAGAGATGGGCCACAGGAATGAATGAAAGAGCATAGCTAAATACTAATCCATCTTTCCATCTGTTAAACCATGCACTTTCTCCCTGATTCCTTGCCAGGACCGGCTTCTTTAAAGAAGTCAGGGAAGCTGGATTTCTGCAGTGCCCTGTCCTCCCACACCACCTCCCCGAGAATGGCTTTCACCCACCACCCGCTGCCTGTCCTAGCAGGAGTCAGACCAGGTGAGAACAAAGCCATTTTCTTAGGGGGGGGAATGGGTGGATTGTGGGCAAGGGTGGGAAGGCAAGGGACAGAGCTCTCTCTCTGGAAGAGCATGTCAGAGCACTCAGCCATGTCGGTTCTGGCAATGGTCTCTTTCTGCCTGACTCTATTTCCCTCCCCTCCCCTCTTCCCCTCCCCTCCCCTCCCCTCCCTTTCTTGTTCTTTCCTTCTCTTGCTTTCTCTTTTTTCTGCTGAGCCAACTTAACACATGGATTGTAAAATGCATCCTGGAAGATTGGTCATTGTGATGGAATATAAAGGGCAGCGTTTACATCTAAGTTGTCACGTTCTTTTGCTCCAAATCAACTTGGACTTCCTCAAGCTGGAGTTGATGAAACAGGGTATAAAATAGCTTAGAGTGTTCATATGAGAATCCTATAGAAAAACAGATGCCAGCAAGGATATAGTAGAGCTAAACAT